CTGCTTTATTATTTGTCTTCACCCAGAAACCAATTATAAAAATACATTCGTATATAACCGAATGTACACGTGGGGTTTGAACTGTACATGTGTTCGTTTGCAGGCGGCAGGGGCTGGAACTCACAGAGGGACCTGGGTTTGATGCCCAAACTTGGGCCACTTTCTCCGTGGAATGTGGAGTGTGTTCTACCCCCCCCCCCCGTTTTATCCTGCATTGGTTTCCAAAATCAGAATAATTATTTAGACTGGATGAAGAGGAATCCTATAAGCTATGAAGCTCTTCTTTCACAGATATGCAGTTGAGGCACAGGGTCAGCAAGTTACAACAACAAACAAAAGAAAATGAGTGCAAAGTGTAAAAATGTAAGCAAGTCACAAAATAACTGAGCATATAAGCACAAAGTACGTAAAATCCTGCCAGTTTTTCAACACTAAATACAAATTTAGGGTTGTTACGGGAAGAAAGGCGGACAAACACAAGGGTGTCTGGACCCACACACGGGTGTCTACATCCACGTCCGCATCGGTTAACCCTGGGGGGGCATGGGGGCGTTGTGATCCCCCATAGCCCCACCCCTCGGAGAGGATTCTTATAAAAGGCGGGGAGCCAGAGGGCTCGAGGCCAGTGTGTTAGACGCTTACCAGAGAAGACTGAAGACCGGCAGAATAGGCCCTGGAACTCCCCTGGCTCGCTGTCCTTGTCAGGGCCGAGCAGGGCAAGTGGCGCGGCCCCAAGAGCTCCAGGACCGCTGCTCTTGTAAGAGCACGGCCTGGTTAGCTGGGTGCCGGGATCCGTGCTTGACCAGGGCCGGATCAGATAGCCTCCCCTAGCACTCATAGCGGAGGACTGGGAATAGGAGAAGTCAGGGGATAGTGCTAGGGGTGTTTCCCATTGAGTACGGGTGAAGGGGCCATTACCCCTTCAAGTATTGTTACCGCCTTTTGGTTAAATAAAAGAGTGTGCCTCAACTACGTCGTCTGTCTCCCTGAGAACTCACTACACTTGTATAAGTGTAGTGTATCGTGTAGTGTATCGTGTCGTGTATAGTGTAGTGTGTAGTGGTAGTGTGTAGGTTAAACGTTGAGTTTTATAAGGGCACCACGGGGTGACCAGCCCCTCCCACCCAGCCCCACCCCCTCCCACCCCCCACCCAGCCCCACCCTCCCCACCCAGCCCCTCCCCACCATCCCCTCCTCCCCCAGCCCCTCCCCACCCTCCCCTCTCTACCCAGCCCCACCCCTCCACCCCCACCCTCCCCTCCCCATGCACGACAGACAATCCCTGGTGGGCAGTGTGGAACCTGTTGTTCCTACCGGTATAAAGTGTGAAATATCTGAACCGGTCCTGGGCCTCCCCTTGATCGACTCAACCTCAAATGAGTACCTGATACAGTGGGTACACATCACCACGAGGGAGACAAATGCGTGGTGTTGGCTACCCACTCCCCTGTGTACTGTGCCCGTTCTCTGTAGGTCCTCACTAACACCACTTGCCTCAAAAATTGTTAAGGCTATGAGGGGGGATCTTTGTCTTGTACAGTGGCATTGGCTACGTATAAACTGATACTTTGAATGGAGTTTATAATACAGCATGGCCTACGTGTAACGCATCATATACCATGTAGACAGCACCATGAAAGTGTGTGCCGTATAATACAGAGTATGTGTAAAGGAGCATAGCCTGTGCACGTACTGCAGAGTTACTTTGAACTGAAACGTGGCATGGCCGTTATGTGTAGAACAGCATTTCTTGTGTATATGTAGTGGGTTCCCACGGAGACTGGAGACGTAGCTTAGAGGCAACACGGTTTATTTAAATCTTATAACAGAAGCCCCTTTTACTCCCACTACTTGGGGAGGTATGGCCTCCGGGCTAACGTGCCCTATCACTGGGGCTACGGGCTCTGAGTCCTCCGACTAAGGGTGGCCTAGGGGAGGCTATGCTGACCCGACCCAGCCAAGGTGCGGGTCTCAACCACTGGTCCGTGCTCGGCCCCGCCCCTTAAAAGGACGTCGGGTCCCAGGGTCCCAGGGTCCTAGCCTAGCCGGTCTTCAGTCTTCGTCTTCAGAGCACTGCCTCGGGCCGTCCTGGGGTCCGTCTTTTATACCCACCTCGGGGACTCTCCACCCCCGGTACCGCCCCCTTTCTGGAACCTTCCAGGTGGCTTTGGAATAACCCCCCAACCCCTCACCTGTGGTCGGGGGGGGGGAACTCGGCCTCTCAACGGTCCCGGTTCTCTCTCTAACTCACGGTGGCACCCCCTGCAGACTCGTGCCCGCAACTACAGGTGGTGTGTGCTTTGCATTTCCGACGCTACATATACAGCAAGAAATACTCTACATAGAGAGAGCATGGCATCTGTGTGTGTGTACTGCATGACACACGGTGTACGGTGTGTAATCCACAGTGATGGGCTGCTGCTGCTGCACCTGTTGACGTTGATGTCGGGGCAGGCAGAGTCCTCGCTCCGGGTCCCCGTGGCGTTGCTCCGGGGGAACGTGCAGAAGAAGGCGTTGGCCAGGAGGCAGGCGGCCTGCTCCTGAGACATCGTCAGCATCAAGCCGGTGTCCCGGCGGAGCAGCGGCAGGGGCTGGGGACACGTGCGGTGCACAGGGCGCAGCGACGTCACACGCGGCAACGGGTGGCACGGGGTTGCAGAGGAGCAACGGCGCAATGGTAACACCGATGCAGAGCACTGAGCCTGCAGCACTGGGATGCTGGGGTCTGGATCAAGGAGTTATGAAATTCACGTAAAACAGATGATTGTTGTACACGTGAGGTTAATGCTGCAGCCCTGCAATTACTTGCTCATGCAACTGCTGGTGAAAGAACCTCCACTAGAGGGAGGTCTAGAGTGCCGATCCGGTGGGTATGTTTTGGCCAACTTTTCCACACTGACCATTCGTCTTGAAAGAGGTGGGAGTACTCGCCATTTATCCCACTGCACGCGACCCACCGATGGACTGTGGGTGGACAAAACAGGGAATTGTAAGAATCCTGGTCAATGTTTTCAAGGCCAGGCTGGGAGATCGAACCGCGACATTTGAAGTCAATCGTGACAACCATCCCACAGTCATGGCAGCAGCCCTTTTGCAGAAATAAAATAAAATATTGGAGAGGGCTTCACACAAGAAACAAGAAGATTTAGTGGTTTGGATGTGGCTCTCCAATGAGTACAGATAGGGTACCACAAGTAGCGGTGCATACTCGGGCACAAAGAAATAGAAGCAGAGACAAAGAATGAGATAGATCGATGCAATAAAGAATTGGCAGTGGTGCACCAAGCACGACCCCTTGCTGAGCGCTGCAGCAGCAGCCCCCCCCCCCACCCCCGGACCCCTCCCCCACCCTCCACTTCTCACCCTGACGCCACACAACCCGTGGGTAGGCGATGCCCTCTGGTGGACAAGGCGCGGTACAGGCGGCAGCACGAGACGCCAGCAGCGTTGCGCTGCCAGGGTTACTCACCCGAACACCTCCGTACACTTACACACACCTACACACACCTCTATACACCTCTATACACTCACACACACCTACACACTTACAAAGACAAAGATCCCCCGTATAGCCTTAACAGACTGTAGAGGCAAGTGTTGTTAGCGAGCACCTATGAAGGCCGGAACGGTACACGAGGGGGTGGGTGGCCAGCACCACGCCCGACCGCCTTTGTCTCCCCAGTGGCGATGTTTACACACCGCACCAGGTACTCATTTAAGGCTGAGTCGACCTAGGGGAGGCCCAGGACCGGTTCAGATAATCGTCACTGGTGTTAGCCGTGAGTGGGAATCGAACCCGGGTCGCCAGGTTCATAGCGCAGCGCGCTAACTGCTACACTACCGCTCCCCACACACCTACACACACACACCTCTACACACTTACACACCTACACACACACACACCTATACAACAACAACCGCCATTCGCCACTAAGTGGCGGTGACGTCACCACGACGCTTGTGCCAGGCCAAGTGCACCTTGAGGCCACGTGAAGTGTCGAACGCCCGCTGGCAGGAGGTCACGGGGCAGACCCAGCAGGTGCCACGGGTCGACTGACCGAGATGACCGAGATGACTGGCTGATGCACCACCTGTGGCCCCCTACTGTACCAACTTGCTGTGCTTTAGCCACCCGGCGCTCCGCTCGTTGTTGTGAGCGTCGCTCCTCCACCCTCCGTTGTTGTTGGAGGGCGACTGCCTCCAACTGCCCAGTAGCGTCCTTCACGAGCCTCCTCCACTGAGGCCGATCTTGATACCGCTGGTACCAGTCATCGGCAAGTCCACTCAGCTCCACGTCCTCCTGTACCACATCACTCCATCTCTTCTCTAGCCCGCGCCGCGCCCGTTTAGCCCCCTTGATTTTAGGCATGCAGTAGCTGGGCATGCGTGCTACATGACCCAGCCAACGCAGCCTTGCCTGCCGGAGGAACTCACCGATGGGACTTTGCCCAGATCTTTCAAGGATTTGTGAGCTCCTCACACAATCCAGCCTGGTTAAACCCAGGATGGATCGTAGGCAGGCCAGCCTAAATGTTTCCAACCGACGAAGTTGCTCCATTAGGGGGGTCCACGTTTCGCAAGCGTAGAGAAGGGAGGGAATGACCGTGGCCGAGAAGACCTGAAGCTTCGTGCGGAGGTAGCTTCCACACAGCGTTACGCAACCGATGAAAAGATAATGCCGCTCGACTGATTCGGAGTGAGACCTCTGCTGATAAACTGGAGCCGGTCATAAGCACACTGCCCAGGTATGGGAAACTCTCCACTCTCTCCACAACTGCCCCATCACCGATTGGGAGTTGTGGGGGTGGAGTGTCTGATGGTACAAAATACCCAGGCAGGTGCTTAGTTTTGGTGGGGCTGATGGTAAGACCCCACCTCTTAGTGGCACGCTCCAGTTTCAGCAGCAGCGTCTCCAACTCCTCTTCTGAATGAGCAGCTATTACCAAATCATCGGCATACATAACGTGGTCGATCAGCCTCCCATTATATCTGTACCAAATGGAAATTCCCCCGGTACAGATATTGAAGGCTTCACGAACTACGCAGTCGAAATAGATGTTAAATAATGTGGGAGCCTGAGGACATCCCTGTCGCACCACAAGGTGTACAGGGGAAGGCTCTGATTCCCGGCCACGTAGTTTTACCCGGGCCCGCTCACCATCATGAAGGTCCTTAATGATCGTGAGCAGAGGGTCAGGGACTCCGAAAGCACGAAGAACAACCCAGAGCCCAGGCCTACTGATGGTATCATAGGCCTTGACCAGGTCAATAAAGCAGAGATGAAGGTCTTGTTGGAATTCCTACACCTCTGCTGTAGCAGACGGACAGAAAATATGGCATCTGTACAGGACCGCCCTTTCCTGAAACCGCATTGGGGTTCTGCAAGCCTCTCCTCAGCGTGCCTAGCAAGGCGATGTTGAATAATCCTTGCCAGGACCTTTCCCGGCACACTTAGGAGTGAGATGCCTCTGTAGTTGTTACAGTCTGTGCGGTTCCCCTTCTTAAAGAGGGGGACCACCAGGGCATCCTTCCAATCCTGCGGTACCCGTCCAGCGGTCCAGACTGTTGTTATGATGTCATATAGGGCAGTCTGTGCACAAGCGCCACCCTCCCTCAGCATTTCGCTTGGGAGATCATCTCTGCCCAGTGCCTTTCCTGGTCTCAGACTCCGGATCGCCTTCAGTACTTCCTCAACAGATGGCACCTCAGCCAGCCACTCACAGGGGGTGACCTCCTCCAATATTTGAGGCACCGCAGCCTCAGCAGGGTTATCCCCACTTTGTGCCATGATGTTTTCCTGGCTGAGAGATTTTCCCTCTCCCAGGACCTCACACACACCTATATACACTCACACACACCTACACACACACCTCTAGACACTTACACACACCTACACACACACCTCTATACACACACCTCTATACACTCACACACACCTACACACACCTCTATACACTCACACACACTGACACACACCTCTATACACTTGCACACACCTACACACACACACCTCTACACACCTACACACACCTATACACACACCTCTATATACTTACACACACCTACACACACACCTCTATACACTTACACGTACACACACCTCTGTACACCTAAACACCTACACACACACCTCTATATACCTAAACACCTACACACACACCTCTATACACGTACACACACCTACACACACCTACACACACACCTCTATACACTTACACACACCTACACACACCTCTATACACTTACACACACACCTCTATACACTTACACACACACCTCTCTACACCTAAACACCCACACACACACCTCTATACCCTTACTCACACCTACACACACACCTCTATACACGTACACACACCTACACACACACCTCTATACCCTTACACCTACACACACACCTCTATACACGTACACGCACCTACACACACACCTCTATACACTTACACACCTCTATACACCTAAACACCTACACACACCTCTATACCCTTACTCACACCTACACGCAGGAGGAGGTGGTAGTGCGGGAACGAAAGGGCCTGGCTCGTGCGGCGAACGCGATCCATGCGCTCCTCCGCAGCATGATGCTGTTTTGTTGCGACCGGTCGACCGCACAGTTGGGGTGATGGAGGTGGTGCGGTGCTTACCATGACCGCTATCACCACACGCACCACACCATCTACCCAACCACCCCGTGATACACACCACACACACCCCACTCACACCACACACACCACACACACCACTCACACCACACACACCACACACACCACTCACACCACACACACCAGACACACCGCACATACCGCACACACTACACACACCACACACACCACACACACCACTCACACCACACACACCACACACACCACACGGTTCCCCGGAAAGACGGTGCCACTGGGACCGCAGCCGGGGAAGGAAACTGAGCAGCAGATGCCAGGACTGGACTGGACAATGACTGCTGCCAACGGACTAACTCTGTTCAGAGATAGGATCAATCCAATGTATTATGTAATACTTATCATTGTTGTTTTTATTATTAACGTCATGACATGAACTTATGAGGAAACAATGTAACTTTGCATTGCTTGTGAGTGCTGCCTGGGTTTGTTAATGTGCCTTGGCTCGTGTGCAGTGTCCCGGCTGTGTGTGCGGCGGTACAATGACAACTATGTCATGAGAGAAGTTTCAGGCAATGGCCCTTCTTCAGAACGTGTACAGGCAGTGGTGGGAAAAGATAATCAGGCGATTCGTCTGACACATCCGCCCCCTAACTGCCCCTCTGCCAAGCTGCTCCGCTGTCCTGCTGCCCCAATGCCCTCTGCCCCACTGCCCCACTGCCTCAATGCCCTTATGCTCCGCTGCTCCACTGCGCTGGTGCTACTCTGCCCTAATGCCCCGCTGTTCCATTGCCCCACTTTCCCACTGCCATCACATCCATCACGAAGCAGCGAGACGTCCACACCACCTCATTAAATATTACCCTGATGTACACGCAGAGAGAGAGAGACCCTCGTTAAACATTAAATACTGGAGGGGGCTGCTGTGATGCAATGGCTCGTAAAATTCACTGGCAATAGAGAGATTGCTGGTTCCACCTTCTGGCACAGCAGTTGAAACAAATGGTCGAGTACTAATAGGGGTTTTCCCATTTTTTTCTGGCAACAAAACTGACACCTTTTGCAAGGCATCATGTTTACATTAACCACAATACTTGCAGTCAAATGTTGCCAGAAAAAAGGGGAAAATCCCTATTAGTATATTTTGATACTGGCGAAGGAGGTCCCAAAATGGTCGAGTATCTTAAGTTCCCCTGCCTCTGTCCGCCAAACAGTACAACTGGGTACACCAAAATCGAGTGGCAAGTTGGGTGGGTAGGTGCTGGATGAGTGAGTGCATCGGTGTGTGGGTAATTGGATGAGTTGGTACCTGGGTAAGTGGATGGTAGGTGGTTGAATGGGTGGATGGGTAATTGAATGAGTGGGTCGGTGTGTGAATGAGTGGGTGGCTGGGGGTGTGGGAGGTGGATGGATGAGTGGGTAATTCAGTGTGTAGATTGGTGGATGTGTGAATGTGTTAATGAGTAAGTTGGTGGTTGGTGAATGATTAGGTGGGTGGATGAGTGCGTGGGCGGGTCAGTGAGTTAGTTAAAATGAATGAGTGGTTGAATGGGTAATTAAATGAATGGGGAGGTGGATACATGATTTGGTGCTTGGGTGGGTCAGTGGGGAATTGAGCGAGCGGGGAATGAGAACGTGGGTGAGTGGATTTTTGAATGAGTGATTGGGTGAGTTCGTGAGTGGATATTTGAGTGAGTGGTTGGATGGGTGAGTGGGTAAATGAGTGGGTGAATGAGTGGTGGGTTAATGGGGAGGTGATTGGGTGGGTGGGTGAGTGGGTGCGTGAGTGGGTGGGTGAGTCGTTGAGTGAGTGGTTGAGTGGGTAATTTAGTGAGTGGGTGAATATGTCCGTGGGTAATTGCGTATTTGAATGATTGAGTGATTGGGTGGGTGGGTCTGAGGACCAGACACGGTTGTGACCACTCCGTCCCCGTCGAGCGCCTTGCTGGCCTTCATCGGGGCTCACTACCAACACGAGCTGCCCTAGATATGTAAATGAGAATCAAAATCTGAATACGTAATCATACTGGAGGAATCCGATGAGCTATAAAGCTTTCTTCAGAGATTTCCAGTAGGGGACGGGTTTGAACGTTACAGCAACAAACAATCCAAAAAATACGATCGGAGTGCAAGGTATAGGAAGAGTAAACAAATCAGTAAAAAAGTTACTAAGCAATTTTTGTTATCTTATCAGGTAAAATCCAATGAGGTATTAGCTTATATTTCAGAAGCCACTTGACCACAAATGATAACTCATGTCTGGGGGCAGCTATTGAAGGCAGCCTGAGATGAACATGATGTATGCTGAACTTCTTTCGCACCGTACATAGCCAACCGTGCTAATCCGAAGTGCCGGGGAAGGACAACAACAGTAATAGGTTAGGGACAGGGCTATAGGGTCAGGGCTATAGGATGTAGGGGCACTGCAGGTTCTCCACAAGGCACGTGATGCCCTCTAGTGGACGAACGCACAACTACAGCTGCTGATGTTGCTGCTGCAACGCAAGGAACAAGACAAGCGGGCTGTACAGCCTCCACATCGCCACTTCTCCACGCACACAAAGCGAACCTTCTCAGAGTGCATCTCATCATCAACATTAACTCAGCGCAAACAGCACCCTGAAACAGGCTTCGTCTCTCAGTGTCTCATCAGCAGTCAGGCTCGCTTGAACCAACACTGGTGAACTGCCAGATGTTACTGACAGGGAACCACTCTGTTAGACGAGCCTTTTGCCCGTCCAAGGACGGGTGTTTTGCAGTAAATGTGAAACTTGCAAGCGACAAAGCAGACCGCGACGTGATATTCATTGCATCCATTCGTGTGCAATCTGTAAGGCCGCGGTGACACGAACCTATTTCATTTACAGGTTATCATCCCTTGTTCATCATGACGTCCTTTTTACTTTGATGTCTCAACTGCGTTATGGAGATTGCGTGACGTCAGGGTTGTTCTGCCTTTGTCGTGAGGGTTGTGAGTTGACGCCGAGGAGGGGGGAGGAGGCGCCTCGGCTCCCCATGTGGAGTGACGTCACCCACTATTATGAATGGGGGGGGGGGTGTCCATGTGGAGGACGTCACCTGCTCATGAATATTAATGAGGGGGGCTGGTGGATGTGGAGTGACGTCACGAGCGTTAAGGATAGACATTCCTGGGTGATGAGAGTAGATCTATGGGCCTGCTTCAGCACAGGACCGTGTAGCGCAGTGGCAGGAGCCTGGCGCTGCTGCTGCTGCTGCCGCCACTGCGATGCACGGCGGAGACGCAGCGCCCTCTCGTGGGCGAGTCTCTGGGGCTGCAGATTATTGGGTGAAGCTGCGTTGGCAGCGACGCACGAACGCAATTCAAGACGACAAACTCAACACATTGGCCAATCACCCTGTGGCCTGAAAGAACCTCGACAGGCGGGAAAGTCGCGCCATGGGACTTGTGTCCAGCCCAGCGGCTCTCCTCGTCACCAGCGGGGGGACGACCTCGCGAGAAAGCCGCCTCGTCCCGCGACCTCTGCAGCTGGTGGTGGTGGAGGTGGTGGGGTGGAGGTGGTGGTGGATGTGGTGAGAGGTGTTGGTGGTGGTGGAGGGTTGGTGGTGGTGGTGGTGGAGGGGTGGTGGTGGTGGAGTGGTGTGGTGGAGGTGGAGGTTGTGGTGGTTGAGGTGGTGGTGAGGGTTTGGAGGTGGTGGTGGATCGAGGTTGGGTGGAGGGTGGTGAGGAGGTTGTGAGTGGTGGAGGAGGTGGTGGTTGGAAGGTGGTGGAGGAGGTGGTGGTGGAGGG